GGGAGAACCTGGAATCATGTAATGAGATCTCATTGAATATGGGAGCAAAGCGGGGGTGGGAGAGGGGGGTGCTTTTCCACAAAGAGTGGTGGTCAAGGGGGAGAGAGATGAGATGTTGGAGTTCCAAGATCAGACCTCCCATCACTTGACATTTATTTTGAAAAGGGGCCCCCAAGTTGGATTGGGGTGAGCATTTGTGAGTGTCAGTGTGGAACAGTAGCAAGTGTTTAACAAGGCTTGGGATGGCTGGGCTCAAGTTCCCACTCAGCCACAAAGCTCTCTGGGTAGGCACTATCTCATCCTAGTCTACCTCACAGGGGTGTTGCAAGAACAAAATGGGGGTGGGGGTGTACAGTGGTCCAAGCTCTCTGGAGGGAGGGTGGAATAAATTTTTTAACATATATAATAGTTTTGTAACTACTGTTAGGTTAGCATACTATTATTGACCCCAATGTTGTTTTGTTGTTTTGTGATTGTTCTCTATCTTTTGAACCTTCATGGGTGAAAAGGCAAGATACGTGTTGCTTAGGCAAGTCAACCAAGAATATGACAAATTGAGTACAGTAGGCTCTCTGCCACCTACACTACCTTTTTGCACATACCTGTCCCCTAGCCAGTATTCTGCACAGGTCTCAAGATGGGAGAGCCTTAGGCTTCTAGGGGGAAGAAGGCATCCCACACTCTTCCATTGTCTCCCAAGAAGGATGGATGCCAGCAAAAACATGGGATCAAGTCTGCCGGATAAGCTGATTTAGTCCTGCCCCCTACACCCAACACTTACTAACTGGGTGCCTCAAGGCCTATTGGGGGGGATGGCTTTAAATGATTATTAGACAATTTAATGAAGGATAAGACTGTCAATGGCTACTATCAGTTGGTAGCAACTGCAGGTGGGCAGAGTGCTGTGCGCTCAGATTCTGCTTGCAGTCTTGCCATGGGCATCTGGTTGGACTAGCAGAAAGTTTTAGTGGACATATTTCTGCACATAATGCCTGCAGAAAAAAATGTGAGCTATGGCCCACCGATTTTACACAACCCAACAAGTTTGGGGAGGGGGGGGTGTTCCAGCAATTATGACACCTTCCAGCTGTCACATATCTAGTCTTCTATCTCAGCCAACTTATTTTTCCAGTGCCCCAACACTTTCCAAAACCTTTACAAATGCAATACTCCCACCTCCAAAACTGTGATTTCGAATTGTATCAGGTTGGGTTAGGGTTGTATTCAGAATTAGGTGCAGACATGTATTAAAGAGTAGGCTCCCACATTATAGCACGTCACTAGCAGATGGCAGGAAGAATTAAAAAGAAGCATCTGCTAGAGAGGTCTGCCTAGTAAAAGGAAGCCATCATCTCAGGATTTGAGGGGGGAGAAGCATTTGCCATTCCTATTCCCTTGCATCCAGTTTTCCTCGAGCCACTGCTTTTCTGTATCCCTCCTCCCTCCCTCCCCCCCCCCCCGAAAGTCCTGGAATTCTCCAGAATCCTTATCACGGTTCCTCAATGAGAAGTGTGGTACTTGTGGAAGAGTTGCTCAAAAGAGAGCTTAACCATCTCCAACATTCTCACATTGTAAACTGTGACATGGGAGGGTTGACAGCATTCGAGTCAGGCCCAGCCAATAAGCTCCTTATATCAGGGTAGCCTCTATGTCCACCTAAGCAGAATTAACTCACACAGTGCCAGTGAAGTTAACTCTCTTTAGTCAAAGAAACCAAACAGCTCAGGAGGCCAAGCTTAGTGAATACAGTAACTCTTCCATGTAGATCTTGCCCCAGTGAGGCAGTTGCGACGACTGAAGTTCCCCAAGTCCCCTCCTCCTGGGTCCTTCCTAAGCAATATAAGACTCTGAGCCAGTGTGGTGTAGTGGTTAAAGAGCGGTAGATTCGTAATCTGGGGAACTGGGTTCATGTCTCCACTCCTCCACATGCAGCTACTGGGTGACCTTGGGCTAGTCACAGTTCTCTGAAGTCTCAAAGCCCCACTCACCTCACAGAGTGTTTGTTGTGGGGGAGGAAGGGAAAGGAGAATGTTAGCCACTTTGAGGCTCCATCAGGTAGTGATAAAGCAGGATATCAGATCCAAAACTCCTCCTCCTCCTCTGGCATCCTGTCTATCTTTGCTCTGTCTTCTTCCTACCTCTTCAGGTTCTGGGAGACCAGCAGGGAGGGCAGCTGGTTGCAACAGGAGAGGGAGATGCTCGGGCTTCTCCAGCAGCCCACCTTGGCTCTGCCTCTTGACTCCCCTCCTCTCCAGCCTTTTACAGTGGTGCCTTGGTTTAAAAACAGCTTAGTTTATGAACAACTTGGATTAAGAACGCTGCAAACCCCAAAGTAGGTGTTTTGGTTTGTGAACTTCGCCTTGGAAGCAGAACATGTTCCGCTTCCTGTTGAGTGTGTTCCATTTGTAAACTGAGTCCCCCGCTGCTATGGAAAGCACGCCTTGGTTTAAGAATGCTTTGGTTTAAGAACGGAATTCCGGAACGGATTAAATTCGTAAAGAAAGGTACCACTGTATTCTAAACTGCTCTCTGCCACAGACTCTTCCTGCTCACTAAACCCTCCTCATCTCCCAACACCTCCTCCTCCCAGTCTGCTCCCTCTGACTACTCGTCATGGTCCCACAACCAATCCCCTGGCTCTGAGCCTTCTTCCCTTGGGGTTTCCCAAAATGGTGCCTCAGACCACGCCTCTGCATCCAGCCAGACGATGACACTAGTTGACTCTCCAGAGTCTGAGGCACTGAACCTGGAACCTTCAGTGTACAGTTTATGCACACCACCACTGAGCTGTGATACTTACCTATGAACCAGGCCCTTGCATGAACCAAGACGAGTGGCTAACCTGTGGCTGTCCAGATCTTGATGGACTACTACAACTCTCAGCATGCCAGGGCCTCTGGCCATGCTGCCTGCAGCTGATCAGCATTGCAGCCTCCCCTGCCTTAGAACATCCATGGGACTCCATAGCAGATTTGCAAGAGCTCTTGGCAGAGAGGGTCTGAAAAACAACATTTAAAGGCCAGTAGTGGGGTACTTTTGACCCTCCGGATGTTGCCGAACAACAGCTTCCACCAGTCTCCGCAAGGCCAATGGCAGTAGCTGGAGGGACAAAAGTTCCCCATACCTGCTGTAGGCATGCAGAGATCTAAAAAGGAAGGAGACCAGAAAAAAAATACAAGGGGAAAGAAACCAAAAGAAAAAGTTAAGACATATAGGATGGGAGAGGGTAGGAACAAGAGGCCTCTTCCAAAACCATGGGAATTGCATGAAAAATTATCACTGGGCTCTAAGCAAAGCCGCAGGAAGGTGTAGTGGCGGGGAAAGGAAGACAGGATATAGGATTGCTCAATAAAAAAAGTTGCAGAGAGTTTGTTTTTCTCTGTCAACTGAATTGCAGTCAAAACAACTCCTCATGCCAGCAGGTTACCTGGAAATTTGATATAGGAACCTAGGAGTTTGATTATACCCCTCTCCAGATCTATCCAAGGCTGGTAGCTAAATATATGGTTGCATACCAGAGCCTGGGCATACACAAACTCACATGCAGAAGTTAAGTGTGAAAGAAGTATTTATACACACACGTAACTATTCAAGGCAAAATACAGAAGTAGAAGAAGCACAGTACCAAAAGCCACCATGAAACACCTCCCAGCTGCAAAACTAACACACGGTTGGAACATAACACTACTGGAAGAGGAAAGACTTCTGCAATTCACTAACAGCATCTCAAAAGCCATTGGGCAGAAGTTTAACATTACCACAATCATTACAGAAATAGAAAGGCTTATCCTAAATAAGAACATCTCAACTTGCAGAGGGTTGGGTGCAGGGAGAAAAATAGAGATGGGATCAAGTGTGGATGTCTAAGAAGCATGTTCCATAGCATGGATTCCACTACAGCAGGGTGGCCAACTCCCAAGAGACTGTGATCTACTCACAGTTAAAAACTACCAAAGTTGTTGAGCTTCTTTGGGGGGGGGGAGACCGTGATCTACCGCAGACGTCCAGTGATCTACCAGGAGATCACGATCTACCTGTTGGACGTGCCTGCACTACAGAAAAAACTCTGCCTACACCTCAGCATAGCTTCTTTGCACTACTTTGAAAAGTGCATTTGCAAAGCAGGGCACATGTGCACGCCCAATACAAATTAGCACGCAGGCACTTTGTGAATGAGGAAGAGTGTTGTGAGCTAGCACAAGTTCTCACTTCAGGGCCCTTATGAGATAACCTGGGGCAGCTTCCGGCAAACCCTAGATGATTTGGATTACGGTTCCCATCAGCTCCAGCCTGCATTGTTGTCCAAAGCCTACGTAGGACACCAGGCTAGCAAAGGCTAACTTAGGGTAAGAAAGGGAGCACTTTAAGCAATCTCATGAGGATTTTATTTGCTCTCCCCACCTAGTAATGAGCTACTCAGTGAGACAGAAGTGTGGTGAGAAATGTCAGTAAGCAACAACATCCAGAAACCCTTGTGAGGAAACCCTGAGTTGACTGTATTGCCTCCCAAAACCATAAAATAGACAATCACTCATACACACCATCCAACTTCTAGGCCAAGCCCAAAGGTCCTGTCTGTTTTAGTTTTGATGAAGTGGGTTAGGAGGAGCACAGCAGATTTGCCCCTCTTTTGGCAACTTCCACACCCCTCAAGCTAGCTTTAATTTAGGTACTTGTAAGAGGGCCAGACACACACTTGCGAGGTTCAGAGCATGTGCACAGGAAAACCTGCATTTGAACACTGCATGGGTGACAGAGACCAGCCAAGTGTTGCAAGGTCAGCCTTCGCTAAACACTCATTCATATAAAGCGCCCGATAGCACAGTCGTAGCTCCACGTCCCCAAACATAGCCCTGAAAGGGCCCCAGAGGTGCCTCCCCTTTCCTCCACCCGCCCCCCACAAAAAGAAAGGGCTTGAGAGAAATTTGTTTCGGTTCCGTAAGATGCTTCTATAGTCAGGCCTTTGTTCCACATGTACACGCCCTGAGCTTCACCAGAGGATGCAGGTGTCTGCGGCCCCCCGGGACCCTTCTGCCCCCTTCGTTTTGCTGGAGGCAAACCTAGCCAGGAGCTGCCCCCACAAAGAGATCAACCACAGCTCCTCGGTGCATCAGGTGGGAGGGGTGTGCAAGACTCTGAGCTTGGGGCAGGAGGGGGGGATGTTTGCAATTTCCTGCCCCAGTTCGAGGAGAGAGGCCTCTTGTCGTTTCCTGTGGTTTGGGGCAGGGAGGGGAGAGATAGCAAAGAGTCATGTGATTATCTCTCTTTCCCCAAGTGGGAGGAGACACGAGGCGGGCTCAGTGCGGCAAGGCGTCTATAAATGGGCCAAGCACTGGCACTTCCATCTCTTGACTTCAGCTGGCGACTGGTCTCCCCGGCTGGCCCGGTAGATTGCGAGCGACCCAAGAGGTAGACTGCTGTGGGCTGACAGGATCCCTGGGCGGGGAGTTGGGAAGAGCGGGGCTACTTGACTGAAGAGTCCTGGGTTCTAGCTGGGAATGCAGGAGGGCAGGAAAGGGCTGTGCAATGAGAGATAAGGCGGCTGAGGCTCTTGGAGAGAACACGCTGCATCCGTGTGCTGGGTGGGTGTTATGCTCTAAGACTCCTGGAGTTCTATCATGATGTCTAGGAAGGAACAAGAGGAAGAATGAGGCTGGTGTTTGGGAGACGGAAGGATGGGGATCTGGGCCAAAGCGAATCTTAGTCCATCTTCTTGTTTGAAGAACAAAACCTGTATTTTTAAAGAGGAGCATGAGGAATTGGGAGCATGCAGGGGTGTTCATTGGCATGTAAGCTATTAGTCCTAACTCCCCACCCCCCTCCTAAACAGGCTTAGACTGGGAAGTAAGAATAGGGAAGTTCCGAAAGATGTCACACGGGTGGCTTATGCAAAGGGGAAATATGGCGGCTGTGCACAGTCAGTGGGTGCACACTCATGCTTATTCAGGCCCTTCACTGAAAGGCTGCTGTGAAATTTCAACATGCCTGCCCTCTACTGATAGGAAAGAGGATGAACACCTCTGTACAAGCAAGCATCAGTTGATTGACCTTGCAGCCATTTTCCTAACCTGTCCTCCTCTTCTCTCTGGTTTTTAGGGCAGCTCCTTTCTATTGCAGAAATGTGTGGAGTTTGGCAGGAATGCCCGTCCCAGCAGCATTTGACCACAAGAGTCTCTTCGATGAAACATGAGCTGGTCTGGGATCATTGCCTGGGGGTCTTGGAGGACAGTTCCACTGCCATCGTACATCTCGTTCCAAGAGAAGTCTATGGACCAAGACAGTTGGTAAGAGATGGGACATGGAGATCCTTTCCCCACTTTTGGAATCTAACAGGGATAAGGAGGAGGGATAATAAACACCATTTCAGGTTATTTTCCATTTTAGAGCGTGTGGATAGTGAAGATAAGGCCTCCATGCTGTGCCCAAGATGTACTTACAAGCAGTGCTCAGAAGGAAAGCCGGGGGGAATTTTGCATAAAGGTGTTCAGGGTTGTGGGGCAAGTAAGTAATGTATGAAGGATTCAGTCTTAACCCCCAACAGGAACTTGCTGAAAGGGCGGGGAGAGAAAGTAAGAGATAGAAAACAGGAAAGGCAAGAGATACAGCGTATAGATCAGCCGTGCCCGCCATCTAGGCAAATGAAAGCAAACAGACTTCTAATGTCCCCTGAATACCAGTCACTATATTAAAAAACAAAACCTCATTAAGTTTTCTGTTAAACCAAATGGGCTGCATCCAACTAAGTTCTAATCAGAGTAGACCCACTGAAATTAATGAACCTAAATTAGTCATGCTAATTAAATTCAATGTGTCTGCCATGTGTAGGACTAACACTGGATACAACAACCCCAGCTATTGTGTAAGGAAAGTTCCAACTGTTTCTCTGCTGCTCTCTTGAAATCAAAGGTATAGCCACATATTATTGCATTAAACTGAACAAACCATTTTGCATCTCTAATGGGGAAAGTCTGACAGCGCAGTCCTATGTGTGTCTACTTAGAAGAAAGTCTCATTAAGTTTAATGGGCCTTATTGCCAGATACATGAGCGCAGGATTGCATCCTAAAGATTATGAGCAGTCCAATTCTCTGCCTGTTCAACTCAGAGTAAGTCCCAACTGCATTCAGTGGGGCTTACACCAAAATTACATACACACAGGATTGCTATCAAATTGAACAGAAAGCTAAACATAGACACAGCCATTTTATGCTGCTTATTACTGAACTAACGCTACAATACTATGGAATTTTACTCAGGAGTAAGTCCCACTGAAATCAGTGAGGCTTACTTCCAAGTAAACCTGCACAGAACTGGGCTCCAAGTAAGTGGTTCTTAAGACCTGTTTACGCATTAATAGTTTTATTTGTTTAATCTTAGTTGATAATCTATTTACCCTGCCAATTTATAGCAGTATTTCCTTAACTTATAAGACAATTCTATGCAGATATATTAAAAGGAAACCATTACACTGTATATAAATCGGTAAACTGTTCTATAGGTTGGGTTAAAAAAAACACAACACTCCTGAGTTGCCTAGTTCTTTTAGAACCAAAGCTTTACAAGACTAAGCCATTTCCACAAAACCTGTAGTTTATTCGAGATAAAACCTAGAATAAATTTTCCCACCCCAGCATATTCTCAAGATAGTTTTGCAGAACATGAGCCCTTCTCAGAGTGTCATACATGACTGGGCCCTGTGTTCAATATGGTGCATTACAACCAGACTTCCCCACTTTGTAGCCTACCTGAACCTGCAAATTCTATATGGGAAAGGAGATCCCAAGAATTTCACTTAGTGTCAGAGGCCCTTTTTCCCCAACCTTCACCTCTTTGCTCTACTAAGATCTACCAGGGTGAAAAGCAGGGTCCTCCTCATTGTACTCCAATTCTGCAGAATTCTCTCAATTAAGAGACCTGCCAAAACTTCACATTATAACATTTTTTTAAAGGACAGTACTTAAAACGTGTTGGTTTTTTTAAAAAAAGCTTAGATTAGAAATACAATGGTTGTTTTAACGGGCTTGGGATTGCAGCTTTGTCCCTTTGGGATTGGGAAGGAGGCAAAATACTTTTTAAAAATACACTTTCATGTTCCTTATGGTAGCCTATATGGGCAGGGATCTAAGGAGTTACTTTGCCTCGTGCAATGCATCTGTCCTGACCTAGTTTTACATTTTAACACTTGCTGCTCACACGCGAGCACACACACAAGATCCACCGGCATTACATTTGTCTCGCCCATTAAACTGGCACGCAGCCCGCTAATCACTTGCATGTTTCTAGCAAGGAGGCAATTATTAGATGTATTCAAATTATTCAACCATGCAACTAGCTGGCACCAACTAGTTTCATGGGCTATTGGATCCTAGCCTTGAAAACCTTTAAATGTTTATAATTCTGAAACTCAGTGATGTGTGCACTACAAAAAAACTGAACTATAGCTAACCCACATGTAAAATTTAAATTAAATAATCATAATATTTGGTGGACCGGCTTGAAGAAGAAGGAGGAGGAGGAGGAGGAGGAGGAGGAGGAGGAGGAGGAGGAGGAGGAGAATTTGATATATAGTTATAGAAAGCCTCTATCCAGACAATTTTCTCCGTCTTCAAGGCCAATTGCTCATCTCTCTTAAATTTCATCAGAAATAGCAGAGACCTACTCCAGACTTGATGAGCCACACACTCCAGTCTCCACAACATTTCTTTCTTTAACTCTCTCAGGAAATAAGATTTTTGGTTAAGGGGTTAAATACTAAAAAAAGCAATGCCAAAAAATTCCCCCTCAGCTAGTTTCATTAAAATGCTCTACTTAGTTCCCTATTCAGTTTGTCACCACTAGTGAAAAATGGTTGAGCTTTTCTCATAAAGCCACAGGAACCACTAATACAATGTCCCCCAGTAAACTACCCTCTAGATTTAAACATGTGAGACATAAATTCTAAGTAGTTATAGCACAGCAGAACGTAGGATCTGGAGCAGCGAGGGAAGCTATCTGGCAATCTTTTAGTTGAGTTATGGAGTTTCAAAAGTAGGATACCTGGGTTATGCCCTCCGCTCCTACGTTGGGTGAACCACAACACACATATTTTTATTATCAATTCTCGGAGCCAGTGAAGTCACAGGGGTGGCTGGGAGTCAGATTCTCTGTTCCAAACTTCCCCAGGCTTATTTGCCATTACGATTATGAATAGGTCAGTCACTCTCAATGTGCCCAGCACTTTAAAGAGCAGCAACCAAAACGCCAGTCCCTGCCCCAAGGAGGTTACAATCTAATATCTGACAAAGGGAAGGGTTGAGAGTGAACAAATGAAAAATATGTATCCGGCTTATTTGTACGCACTTAGCTCTAAGATATGGGGATTAAGGGACCAAGCCAAATGCTTCACAAACAATGTGAGTTTTGAGGAGTGATTTGATAGAAGGGGGGGTGGACTTCTCATAGTTGTGCTGGGCAGGGAGTTCCAAGCACAAGAGACAGAAAGGGGAAGGGTAGAAACTGGATTATGGTAGCAAGAGTCCTCTGGGTGGTGGGATAAAAAAGGATGAACACAGAGGCATTTGCTCTGTCAATGCTGTGTTTGCCTTTTACTTTGGGCTCAGAACATCCCCGTAGGAGAAAGAGGGCAGACTGAGGGCATCAGCATGCCATCAATTGCCACATGAAATGGGTTCTCATTTGCCCTTTCTTTAAAGGCAGCCAGCTCCAATGACCATCTGAAAATCCGAACCACGTGCACTCATTTTTGCTTCTTTCAGTTTTTATCTGTGCATATACCTTAAATGAACTTTTACCTTTCTGCAGAGAAAGAGAGGCAGGCCCTTTTCCCAAACACAATAAAAGGAACCAGGCATGGAAGGAAGAGAAGGATAAAGGCAAGTAAGTATTTGCAGGTGTAAAGGAGCTTTAAAATATTTACCGCAATATTTTGCTGAACCTGCAAGATTTGAGTCTCCTTCAGTTTTGTTCCCCGCTTCCTAATGCAGAATTAAGCCTTATGTAGTCTGTGAGCCCTATGGGGAAGGAAGGACGTTTTTTAATTCTGTAAAAACTGCTGTCTCACCCAAAACCCACAAGGCCGGGTAAGTCAAACCTCCCCTCCTGCTAGTATCTCTCTGTTATTTCACAACCAGGGAGCTGCCAGCGGGCGGGCGCAGGGGAGATTAAAGAGGGTGGGCAGGGGTGGAGACCAGCTCACAAACAGCCAGCGACAGATGAAGAAGACGCCGAGAGCCAACCCATGACCAGCAGCTGCACTTTATGGACAGTGGACTCATCCATAAAGTAGAAAGCACTACTAAACGCTCGTGTCCAAGTGTAGTGTTTCCTACTTTATGGATGAGTGTACTGTGAGCAACGGAGGCAACAAGGAGAAGTGGAGACTGGCACAAGACCAGGGAAAGGGTGGAGGGGAGGGGAAGGCGGAAATGCCACGTGGCCGTAGACAGGAGGGCATCATGGTTGAACACACATACACACAGAGCCAGACTGTCACTCAAATACAGATGCATCTCTTTCCCCAAAATATAGTACATGACACTTCCAACAATAATGCTTGTAACATGTGACTCATAACTGAATCTAAGTAGGAGGTAGGGGTGGAGAACAAGACCTGGGGAGAAAGGCCCATTTATTGGCACCAACTAAGGATGCTCAGAAGTTATTCTGCCAATACCCTCTTTCCAACTTTGCTACAATCTGTGCATGATACCTTCTACCCTGCCACACACCCCTACCTGAATATGCTTTTAGAAAGTGGAAGGGTTTGGGAATTTGCTGGGGGCAGAGTAGGGGGCGAGTAAAGTATCACATGATGGTTGGTACATGTGTACGGAAGCTGCCCATACATGCGCAAACACCCCATGACCAGCATACCCTTAAAGACCTTCGTTGTTTGGGTAACTGTCTGAAGGTCACTAGCTGTGATTACGCGCTTGAAAGGAGAGGGGACAGGTATTACAGGATGTACTGTATGACCACTTGCATCATGAAAATAAACTTTCAACACAGTTGCATCTTTGTACTTATTCACAAGGGCGGGGGAAGCTGGTCTTGGCCGGAGGGTGCGGGTTGGAGAGAGAGAAGAAACAGCAGCAGAATTTCACAAGTGTATCTCATTTTTGAATTTTCACTTAAGAATCAGCACTACAAACTTTGCCAACCTATGCTGTAAAATTTTTGGCTTGGCTCCAGAGCAAGTCACTCCAATTCTGATGAAATCAGTGTGGAAAGTTACTCATGAGTGACATCCTACTGGTTTCACTGGGAACGAAGTTGAATCAACTTACTCTGGATTCAAAGCGTTACATGCAACCAATCCACTAATCCACGTACTGCTGAAAGCATCCTACTACTAAAGCAAATTCACAGCATCACCGCATGATACAGGCAAACGGGCACAAAAAATGCATCAGACAACACAGAACCAAACTCTGGGAGTATTCTGCTCATCACTCCAATCTCATGCACTGAGATTCTTACTTTCCATTTAAAACCAGTAGTCTAAGGCAGGGGTTTCCAAACTGGTCAACAAGCTTCATTCCACATTGTGACACTGGATTTGTGGTTTAGGATGGGAGACAGCATATTCATCACATTAAATATCAGCACTGGTTCTTAATTGTATTTTATTGTTTCTCGTACTTCTTATTTTACAACCTGAATTTTATGGAATTCAGATTGTAATACAATATATAAGAAATTAAATCAACCGTAAAAATACCTTTAAAAATAAGCATCCGGCACAGTGCATTACAGCTGCTATGGCAGGCAGAAAAATAATTAAGTAGTCTGCCACGATCCTAAGCAACTATCAAGTGGTCCATGGGGGAAAACACTTGGGAACCACTGGTCAAAGGCAAAATAATGGAAAAACAGGGTAAAAACAAGGTGGCAGTTGCAAGTAAAGCATGGACAGGGAATCTGCAGCACTTCAGATGTTTCTGGACCAAACTCCCATCAGCCCAGAGCACTACCCATGCTAGCTAAGGTTGCCGGGAGTTGGGAGTCCAATGATAACATCTGGTGGGTCACAGGTTTCCGAATTCTGTAACAAAAGGATCAGAAAACAGGAAGGGGTAGTATTTTACCAGAAAGGCTGAGAGGAATATTCTGTTCCACTATTTTGAATGTCTTAATATTGCACTCAGCACTCACACACACACTTTGGAGCTACTTAAAGTCTTGTATGCCCTGAAACCCAGGCCAGGAATTTCCTGCCATGGGCTCCTGAAGGGACCCTCAATTGGCCAGTGCTGGGTTGGGACAGCCACCCCCACCCATGCTCCTGGGGTTAATGAAGAGCTGTCTGTCCCATGAGAAGGCAGTGAAGACTAGGCCAGGAAACTTCTGCTGTCAAGCTTTGGAAGGGACCGTCATTTGGCTTCAGAAAACACTTGTAATTTCAGAGTTACAAACCATGACGGGTGCCTTGATTTGTTACCACGTCACTTATTATACACACACTTTTTTGGTTTATAATATAGAATTCCATATGTACATTCACTTCAGTCAGGAAACCGGTACAGTTTTATTTCATCTCTTGCTATGCCCTTGAACTTCAACCGTGTTCCAAGTCCTGCAATTCCAAGTTAAGACCACCTCTCTGAACCCAGAAACAACTCCTTCACAGTGGCAAATATCCCCTTTTTAGAGGCAGTGGCAGCAGCCCAGCCTTGGGTCCATTCCAGTCTGGCTTCAGACCTGATCACTGCCTTGGTTGCCCTGGCTGATTGCGTCTGTCACAAGAGAGATATGGAGAGCAGTGTGACCTTGCTCATTCTCCTCAATCACCCAGCAGCTTTTGCTACTGTTGACCACAGTATCCTTCTAGAGATGGGGGACACCATGCTTCAGGGGTTCCACTCCTAGTTCCAGGGCCATTTCCAGAAAGTACTTATGAGAGGCCACTGTTCCAACACCATGCAAGTTATATTGTGGTATCCCGCAGTGTTCCATATAGTCCCCTCCATGCTACTTCGCATCTGTATGAAGGCTTTGGGAGCTGTCTTCAGGTAATTTGGAGTGAAGTGCCATAAATATGCAGATGATACCCAGCACTCACTCTCTCTCCCTGTGCATGTTCCATCTGAATCAGGAGCAGTGGTTTGAGGTACTGGACCTGCGCTTGGAGGCAGTGATGGGCTGGATGTGGACCAATAAACTAAAGCTGAATCCTGGAAAGACCAAGATGTTATGTGTCTCGAGTTCTCATGTCTGGGAGGTAGAGATGGCTGGCCTAGACAGGGTTGCCCTCCCTTGGAAGGAGCAGGTCCACAGCTTGGCAGTGTTCCTGAATTCAACCCTATCACTGGAGGCTCAACTGAGTTTGAGGGGCTAGGAGTGCCTTTTTCCAGCTACAGCTAGTTCACCAGTTATGACCCCTTTCGACTAAAACCTGGGACACTGCACTCCATGCTGTTAACTGGCTGCCCTTGGAGACTACCCAAAAACTTCAAGTGCTACCAAATGCAGCAGCCAGATTACTGGCTGAGGTTCTATTTAGATCTCACATAACCCCATTTCAAAACAGCTATACTGGTTGCCAGTTCATTTCCAGGCCCAATTCAAGGTGTTCACAGTAGTGTTTAAAGTGCTAAATAACTGGCCCTTAATACCTGAATGGCTTCCTCCTTCCCTACAGGCACTGTCAGGGGTTAGGATCAGCAAAGTGGAGACATACTGTTTGTTCTACCGCCATCACAAGCTCAGGGTGGTGATTGCCCTGGAGACGGCATTCTCCGTGGCAGCCCCTGAATTGTGGAACTCCCTCCCCAGAGATGAGTCTGGTTACTTCATTATATAGCTTTTAGTGAATGCTGAAAGGACACCTCTTCACCCTGGCACTACAAACTCTCTCTCTATATTATATTATATTATATTATATTATATTATATTATATTATATTATCACACACCATCTTATTTCTGCAATTTCAAGTTATTTTAAACTATTCCTGCATTCATGCATTACAGCGGACTTGACCAGATGACCTTTGGGGTCATTTCCAAACCTAGAATTTTATGATTCTGCGTTTTTAACATTGTGCTTTAATTGCGGTAACCTGCCCTGGGACCTGAGTGTGAAGAAGTTGGCAAGACACACTGCTTTCTGTTTCATTCTGAAAAGCACAGCCCGTTTTAAGCTTCACTGGCACGGCGGAGGAGAATGAAAGAGAAACTGAAGTGCACACAGCAGATGAGAAGGGGGGAGGCAATAGGAAGGAAACTTAACATTTTAGATTTGGGTTGGCAGAAGGATCTTCCCTCCCACCCCCACAAGTCATGAGCTGAGGCCACAGCTAGCCTGTGAGCTCAAGGCGGCTTAGGCCTGGTGTCTCCAAGGCAGATAATTTCAAAAGTTTCTTCTGGCATGGAAGGTATTTCAAGTGTTACATATTCGTTTGTGATGCGGCATCACAAAGGCTCCCCTTTGTGGAGCAGGAGTGAAGAGCCCTTTGGAGATGACTTGGTTGAGAGCCACAAAAGATGATAAAGGAGGTTAGAAGGCACAAGGACAAAATAAACTGTGCTTGCTTAGTCTAAGAGGGGGAAATCAATGGGAAATAAAATGCTTTTCTTTATCTAGGAAGGAGAGAGGAGAGGCATTGATTGGCTAGCTGCAAGTTGGCAATTTGAGGCTTGTCACAAGTTGCCCCAGAAGCAGGATTACCATGAAAGAGCAAAACAAACAACCATGTTCAAAGTACAGGGAAGCAAATTTAGGAGAAGTGTTTAGCAACAGCTCTCCCAAGACCAGTAAAGCTCAACAAAGCACAAGATCTCGAGAGGCAAGGCAGGGGAGAAAGGGAGCATCGTTTGGGGTATGTACCTTTTTTAAAAAAATTAAAAAGCACTTTGAAAAGAAGAATAAAGGGGAAGAGGGTGGTGGTTTTAAGCTTTTTTTTTAGCAAAGTGGCCAGGACAAGAGGGTACACAATCTGAACAGCTGCACTGGCAAGAAATGCATTTTCCTTTGTAAAGCAAGACCAACACACTAGCCTGTGCAACAGCAGACTCTAGCGACTATTATTAGGCATGACAGCAGTGCTATTTCCTCCTCCACCACCACCCCATCTCACCCTTCCAACACATTTACACAAAAAATCTTAACACGCTCTCTCTTTTCAGTCAAGGAATGGGTTTAAGGGAATTTAATTTGTGATGTAAGTGACTGAGAGCACCTGAACCATGTTGTGGCTGCAAGGAATGAAAACTCACTAGGCAAAAACAGTTCTGGCAACCATCTGGATCCAATACAACCAGTCAGGATACAAATATATGTGGATTCCTATTTCACTGTAATCAACATTATACGCCTATATCAAATTTTGCAACTGAATCCACAGGAAAGAAAGCAAATCCTAATGTTTCCCATGTCTGCAACACTGGGGTACCTCTTGTTTCTTACACTCATACTAAATTTTCAAGAGTGCCCTATTTTTGTCAGGCACGCTTGAGAACTTGCTCCGAAATGAATTTGTCTTCCATAATGAGATGCAATGCCTTTACTACTTTCGCTTTAGAAATTTTGGGCTCTCACTCTTTCCTCTCCATTAGCAATCATACTTTCCTGCTAAAGGGTCCGTCGAACAGAGCCTCATCAGAGTCCCCTTTGCAACCAACATGGCAGAGAACTGAGGCGGTCCTTTCCTGCTATGGTCCTGACACGTATTTTGCCCAGCAAAGGTAACTAAGAGTACATATTTACAGGCTATTACAAAGGAGTATCTTCACTTGATTCTTGTATTTTCTATCTGGTTGCCCAGCTTCGCCTGACTGAGCCAGAGTATTTCTTTTTTTAAAAGAGGATATGCAGAATTACTTATTGTTACTCAATGTTACTCTTGCTATTTATAGCCACTTTGACTGTAAGAAAAGGGCAAAGAACATCGTTTCTAACTAAATTTTAAAATACACTTTAGAAATATGCTGTTGGCTGTCACCATGTTGTAACTGAAGGCTTCAACTCTCAGAACCTGGAGGGTAGCTTTATAAAGTGGGAGGGCCAATGTACTAATTAAGCAATCAAATCTCTACATCTGAAAAACTAACGCAGTTAAGACTCAGAACTACAATGTCAAGACAAAGCAGAATAAAAAACTTCCACATGTAATAGAGGTCTTGTTTGACAAGCCAACGCCACAGAAGAGGCAGAGAAAATCCCAGGGATTCAACAACAATTTCTGCATTTCGTAAGTTTTTTATTTGACAGAAAAAATCTCCTTGCTGTACATATCAAAAAAAATTAAATGCTTTTAAGAAATATGAAGAAACTTCTGTTCCCATCCCTCCCTGATTTAGGGTTTCTCGGCTTCTTTCCAGCAGAATTTCTCTCACCTTCCCTTGTAAAATGCCTGTCTGCCCCCTTTCCAGTCCCTATCTTGACCCCTCCTGACCCGGCTCAGCTGATCAATATGAAAGAGTCTGCTTTGAGGGAAGGATAAAAAGGAAAAAGAGCACCGCATATTAAAATCTGTTTGTTTTGGGGGGCAGAAATGATCTAATGCTCAAATTGTGCCACCATCAGAAGTCAACCCCACTGTTGCAGGCTACAAGCAACACCTAATTTCTCCCAAAAAGTTTGCTTGCACTTCTCCTGAAGCAGTGGGTCACAGAAGGAAAGCTTCTGGATATTCAGCAGGAGCCCCCCACCCTGGCCCTGAAAACTAGGGGATCCCCAAAGCCAAGCTGCCCTCCTTCCCCTTTTTTTCCTACAACCCTCCACCATTACAGAGAGGGGTGCCTGAGAAACGCTAAATCAACAGATTAGCTCACATATATCTCCCTACTCCCCACCCGCCCACCCTTTTTGTGTTTTCTTTTATTTAAACCTTTTATGTCTAAATCAACAAAAAGGAGACCCCTCTCTCAAAACACAGAAGTAAAGATTTTAGCTGTAAAACGCACAGAAAAAACGCTCACAAGAGAGAGAGAGAAAAAAAAATCAAATGAACATCACCAACTGTTGGGAAGAGGAAGAAGAGGAGCGCAGAGACGGCGGATCCTGGTGGGTGCTGAGCAGAGATGTCCAGGGAGGGGAATGTAGCTGCCGACAAATGATGGGCAATAAAGACAGGGACAGTGAAGGAAAAACTAATGAGAATAAAAAGCCAATGGCAAATGAAGAGGGCCCCCCCACACAAACACACTGGCTTCCAGTGGGCTTCAGGAGGCAGGGGGCTCCCACCTGGGACAGCACTGTGGGAGGCTGGGGTGGTGCAGTCTGTGGTTGCAAGGGCAAGGGCTTTCCAGATTCTCCAAGAGGCTTAGGGGGACCTGGAAGGGGGCAAAGAGAGGAGAAATTAGCAAGCTTCACTCCCTGGATGGGCTACCACCCGAATTTCCCAGCCTAGGGGCAGACCACCTGCCCCAGGCTCTTGAGGTCACTCCAGAGTGAACTGTAACCTTTTCACAATTTTCTACATCACCTTAAGGAATCAAGGCCACTTGGACACCAGTAGTACAGAGTGGAAAATGTTGTGAGGGAGAAGGGAAAGCTTCACAATGCCCACTGGAGAAGGTTGGACAGCCTTATGTATCTGCAGGCCATTAGGGAATGAGGCAGGAAAGAGTCCACAACCCCCAAATAGAAAAACCCACAGAAGGCCTGTTTCTGAAGACAAGCGTCTATACAATGAGCCAGCCCGAGCCAACCTTCAGCACGTTTCTTGCCCCTCTCCCCCAGGAGAGAAGAACTTGGGACTATGACATCACACACCAGGAAGCAAAAGAGGCTGCAGTAACAACCTCCACATATTTGTAATACTTTCTACCTGTGTGATGGTTTTAACGGATGATTTTAACAGTCAGCTGCTCTGGGGGTCAATCTTGGTTTGAATGTGAGGTGAAGCAAATATTCCCCATAGAGTGATGTCACAAAGGTCTACTCAATGTTCTATCAATTAATTTACAAACATTACTAGAGGGAAACCTCCCATCCAGGAAGTTACAGAGTCTGACCTACTCAACTTCCACAGAATTACAGTGCAGCTGCACCATGTGCTTTCCCAGCCATCCTATGACACGATTCTGTAACTCAACTGCAAAGATCAGCAGGAACATGGAACAGCGTTTTCTGGGACACTACACCCAAGGGCATTCACTTAGAGCAGAGGGGAGGAGCTGCAGCCCCAGGGATCAAGGTGGCCCTCTAGGGCATCTTTATCTGGCGCTTGGACCTCCTCCCAGGCCACACCCAGAGCCAAGCTCTGTGATTTTACCTGACTGGAATGTGTGTCCTTAAACTATTACAGTTCATCTTGTTTGCCTGAATGGACGATAGAGAAACAGAGGAAAGGGGCTCTATGTAGAAACCTGTTCTTACAGGCTGCTTTTTGTCAATAATTCAAATCTGGAGTTGCTGGGGGTTTTGCTGAATTACTGCTCTTTATGAGCTGTCATATTTTATAAGCCACCTTGAATACTGTCAGAAACCAAGCAAATACTACCTTGAAGTTCTGCGGCGGGGGACTCGGGGGCTGGGGGAATTGCGTCGACGTTTCCGGCCTGGAGACCTGCTGATGCTTCGTCTGTTTCTCTGCGAGGACCTGTCCCTGGACCTGTCCCTGGAGAAGCAAAGGAAGGCATGAAGCTGATCCAAGTTATCTTAACTCCAATTCTCACATATCCTCCCTCCCTATTCCAAACAGATCCCTAGCCACCGCCTCCCTCCCTCACAATCCCAACATGGTGAGAAGGGAGGCTCAGGTTCCTACCTGCGTCGGTCCCTTGGAGCTGAAGGCAGCTGGACCGGAGGGGATACCCGGCGGCGTTCTGCTGGGGAGTAACTGAGGGAGCGTGAATCACGCAGGGAGTCAATAGGCTTTCGGGGACTGCGTGACCTGAAGGAAGAGAGAGAAGATGGGCTGCTTAAGAGTGCATTCACCACACTTGGCCCTTCAGCTATGGGAGAAGAAAAAGAACTCGTGTGATTATTTTCCGGCAAAATGCTGGACAAGAGTAAAGCATGGACACACCCCTAGGCTGTACCCAGGGCTGAATACCCATGCACTCGTACTACATGCAGAGTTCAGAATCCTTTCATTTTTAAGACGTTTCCAATTCAGTACTAGTTCCATATTTTGGGAGCCCACACGTAAGATTCTCTCAGTGGCCACATTCTTTTCACTGACATCACTTGCACGTTAGGGAGAGAACTAGCAAGTAATGCAGCAGTAGCAGCTGCCACACCATTTCCCTTGCTGTGGCCATAACTCATGCACTCACTCTGGACCAAAGGGTGGGTGAGCAAATGGTTAAGGGTAAGCAGACTCTCTGCAAAGGGTCCCCTGATTGCCCCATCAGGCCAAGCCCCAATGCTGGAGTTGTTTGAATCCTTAAAGCTGCAAAGGCAGGCTACAGTATGTACAGGAAATGCCTGGCAAGATCTCAGTTGGGCAGAGGCTAAGCAAGCTTTCTACTGGAAAGGACTTTGGAGCCCAGCAGAAATCCAGGCATCTAACAGTGGTTTTCAAGAAAAGGTTGATGCAGAGGAAGCCAACAGATTCCAGCTTCCTTAACAGAAACATGAAAGCTGCCTTATACAGAGCCAGATCACTGTTCCATCTAGCTCAGTCTTGTCTACACCAGGGATGAGGAACCTGTGACGCTCCAGATGTTGTTGGACTAGAACTCCCATCAGCCTCAGGGAACATGGCCAATCATCAGGGATGATGGGAGATGGAGTCCAACATCTAGAGAGCCACATGTTCCCTATTCCTAGGCATCAATGATTGGCAGCAGCTCTCCAGGACTTCAAACAGGGGTCTCCTACCTGGAGATGCCAGTGGCACAAGAGCAAGCCTCCTCACTACCCCCCCCCACACACAACCAGGCCCCAAAGTCTTCTGCACCTTTGTTACCCACCTGCAACACTTGGGACTGCTGGCATTCTGCTACACATGCTCTTTTTACACCATTTTCACTAGCAATGTGGTGACAACAGCCACGCTAATTAAAGAGTTGGAAGAACGGAGAACAGTCCCACAGGATACAACAGTCTTGTAGGAGGAAGGGACTGGTCCACCCCATACTAAAATAAAGTCACTGCCAATAAGTCATGGCATCATTCCCTTGCAGCAGATTCTCAGCTCTTTCACCAATAACCAATAAGAATACTTACTTCCTCTTCTCTGGAGACGGCTTCTTTTTGGGGACCACTTTGGCTGGTACCTGGGATCCAGTCTTAGGCGACGAGGGTGAAGCAGAGGAGGAAGATGAGGAAGATGAGGAAGAGGCAGAGGACGAGGAGGAGGATGTGGAGGAGGAGGAAGAGGAAGAGGAGGAAGAGCTGCTGCTGGAACTGCTGGAGCTCTGAGAACGGCGCTTACGTTTGCCCACTTCCAAAGGCTGCTCATCACGGTTTGCCTCCTTCAGCACTGGACTTGGTGGCCTGGGGCGGGAGAAGAGAAAATGAAGGATAGTATCAAGTTCAAACACACAGGGCAATTGTGTTAAAAGGATTAAGAGAGGTATTAGTGGGTTACTTCTAGAATCGCCATTTTTGTTTCTTTGCCAGGGGAAACTGATACACTAACCTTTGGATCATGGTGTTTATGGGAAAGGTCCTGGAGACTAGCTGCCTTAGCTCCCCTTTACATTTCTGTTATCAGAATGGTTGCTGCTGTTCCCACCACACCAGAAAACATTGAAGGCTTCTACGCACATTGGCCTACTGCTACATCACAATGGCTACATCTCTGAAGGGGCCAGTGTCACCTCTACGGTTGCCAACTGGGACAAAGCAGAAATCTCGTGAGTGAAACACTTTTTGATAACGAGTGGGGAGCCTGCGCCCCGCAAGCTGTCATTGAACAGATTTCAACTCCATCATCTCAGAACCATTGGCCACAATGGACATGGCTGATGGAAGTTGGGAGTCCAACAACATCAGAAAGGACACCAAATTCACCCCCTACTTCAGGTGTTCTTAGATCAATGTAGAATCATCTCCTTCAGTAGGAACAGCAACCTCACTAGTAAGATAATGTCAAAGGAAGTTCTCATTCCTGCTGAAGTTCAAAAATCAGAACAGTATTTCGATCAGTGATTCTAATGATCAGCCTCTTCCATCTCCCAACTCTTGCTTCCTCTTCCCATTCTCCAGTTCCCTAATGCCTTGTTTTCTAGTTCTATCACCCCAAACCACGTCAAAAGTAAATATGAAAAGTACACAGAACTAGAATCTTGGGGAAAGATTCAAAGGATGTTCACAAACCTAGGCACATGCATTTCATGTGTACAAACACATGCTCTGCAAGGGAGCCCTGCATTTGGTTTCACCAGGTGCGCTTTAAAGGAGCAAAAGGCTTGCATGGGGCCTGCAGTGCAGATTCAGAGCCCAAATTCCATGTGCCTTCCTGCTACAAAGACACAGTGAAGTGAAACAGGGTTAGCCTCTGGCGGACAAAGGCCACCATTACAGCATTTAAAAACCATTTCCGCTAACATGAAGAACTTTATGAGATCTTTTAAAACCAAGAGGTAAAGTTCTCGCCCTCATTTGGTAGATTTAAGTGTCAGAATAGAGAGAGGAGAGAGAAGCCATGAAAAGCAAGAGTTAAAGTCTATGACATTTCTATGCCAAGCTTAAGAAACATACAAGATATGGACACTGGCCATCCACAAGCAGAATCTGGGATAGCTAAGCTATACAGGTCGTTATGCCCTTTTTGCTTAAGGAAGCCTCTCATATGGACACCTATTGGCAACTAGGTAAGAAAGAGGACTGGCTGAAAAGGGGATGGCATACATGCATCCTTGTACCCTTCTCAAGCCTACTTAGTTTCTGTGCTAAGGAATGGAGATGCCTTTATGCCCCTCCAATGGCCGGCATACAAACACAGGTTACCAGCTTCTTAATAACTTCTGACAGCTTATTTTCAAGAATGATATTAGTGCCAAGACACACAACAGTGGTTAATTTAGCCCACCAAAGCAAGGAGGATTCAATTATTAGCTTGTTATATTGGGGCAGCCAACCCCTGACCTGAAGAGCTAATGCAATCACCCAAGGAAGTTTTTCTGGCCCTCCAAGACCCCAATTCTGGAGGTGGCAAAAAGATAAAATAAATTTTAAGTACATACAGTCCTGAAGAGGGTGAAGATCCCTGTGCCCTGCTTGAGATGTTAATCTTCCTCTTCTCAGCCATCAGGCTGGAGTGGAGAGAGGAAAATTACCAGCTGAGGTGGTGTGCATGGAGGACAACACCTACTACTGACAATCCGTGCCCAAACAGTTGACCAAGAGTGAAGGCACCCCTCAGGCCACAAAAGGTTAGCAACCAGTTGAGCTTTGCATAAAAATCTTACGGAGAATACTATCTCTTGGTTTTCAAGGTCTTAGCTATTTCGCACTCTCAGCCTGCATAGAAAAACACACACTTCAAGTATCAGATGAAATAGATTTTGTCCCCAAATTTTTCATGCTATAATGTGAGTCTTTCAATGTGCTACAAAACTCCCTTTTCTGGAGTGGAAGGCACAATGTGGAGTTGTACAACGGAGGAGATGGTTGGAAAACATGGCACAAAGGGTCAGAGGTAGGGATAACCTGAGTAAATACAACAGAACAGATGACTTAGAAGTGAAGGCAAGATGCAAGATACCAGCAGCTTCATCTAAGACAGGTATAAACAGTGATTACTAGCAACTTAGGAGAGCAGGAACGGGGGGGGGGGGGGAAGAGAGAAATATAGGCTCTTACTGTTTTGGTACAATCTCCGCCTCAACGTCTTTTGCCGGCTGATCCGGGGGGATGGACTCAGATGAGCTGGATTCAGAATCGGAATCAGAAGACGATGAGGAAGAGGAGGAGGAGGAGGAGGAGGATGTGGTGGAGGAAGCAGATGAACTTCTCTTCACCTTTGAGGGAGCAGAGGGTGGTGGAGAGGGGAGAGCCAGTTGTGGGGCAGTAGAACAGCTGCTCCTGGTGTTCTCCTCCATGGCAACAGAAGCCAGCTGTGGCTCAGCCTCCAGGGTGGGGAGGCGCCCGGCAGGCCTCTCTGCTACTTTTCCTTCAGATACAAACTCCTCTTCTTTGGGGGCTGGGGCTAGCACAGAAACCAGGGCTGGCAAGGGGCTGGAGGACTCAGAGGAGGACGACGACGACCGAGCTTTCACAGGAGAAGGGGAGTCTGCGTGGGAACTGCTTCTCCCTGACAAAGGAGCACCAGCAGCTGTCTCATCCCTAACTGTGGAAGGATGAAAGCCCTGACTCCTATCTCCAGGGCTGTCTCGGACAGTCGTGGAACCGCCATTCTTTGACACGGCAGATGGAGCAGGAGACAGGGCCTTCCGAGCTATGGGAGAGTCCTCACATGGTGGGGTTGGAGTGCGAGGGATGGCAGTGTTGCTTTTGCTGTGCCATAGCGAGGGTGCTGATGACTTCTCCTGGATGTCAGACTTGGGGTATTTCTCCAGCACAGGAGGAGAGCGGGATTTCCTTCCTGGAGAGGTGCAGATTTCTCGGGAGCCTGATCTGGAATGCTTCCTCACAGGAGACGACCGAAAATCAGGAGACACTCTGGACCCAGTGCTTTTGTAGGTTGCTGTTATTCGCGGGGCATCTAATCTGGGAGGTGAACGGGATGCATTCCGGCTGGTAGCACTCCGTTGTGGTGACAGCCTAGACATCTCTCTCCGTGCTGGTGATCGGGAATGGCCTCTGCGCGGTGAGGCGACTGAGCGCTCACCCTTCCATGTGAAGCGAGTTTTGTCTTGACGGGAAGGGGATCTTGAGCAGCTTCGGCCTGGGGACGAGATGGACCTTTCCCGCCGTAATGATCCCCGAGACTTGTCTCGCCGCCTGGAGAGCGAACGGGAGCGACTCCTCCATGACAGAGAGCCAGATCTTCCCCGTCGCAAGGAGGTTCGAGGTCGGTTGTCACAGTGAGATGACGATTCAGACCTATGTGGATGCATGCTGGTGTTTGACCTCTGCCTGGAGCGTGATCTGGACCTCTGTCTCAGAGGTGTTCTAGATTTCCGTCTAGGGCTCAGTGGTGACATAGATCTCCGTCTTCTTGTAATTGGTGTTCTAGACTTCTCTCTGGCTCGTGGAGATGAACCAGACCTTCGACGTCGTGGTGGGGTTCTAGATTTTATTCTGGGTCTTGGAGAGGATCCAGATCTGCGACGGCGGCGTGGTGGGGTTCTGGACTTCATTCGTGGTCTTGGGGATGAACCAGACCTGCGTCGCCTTGGTGGGGTTCTGGACTTCATTCGTGGTCTTGGAGATGATCCAGACCTACGTCGTCTGGGGGGTGTCCTGGACTTCACTCTGGACCTTGGTGGTGACCCAGACCTACCACGCTTTGGTGGAGTTCTGGATTTTACTCTAGGTCTGGGTGGAGACCTTGATGTCCTGCGTCTTACAGGTGTCCTTGATTTTACTGACCGTCTGGGAGGTGGCGGAGATCTGCTTACAGATTTTTCTTTTCGATCTGGTGAAGACTCTGAACTGCTCTCACTGTTGTGTATTCTTGGCTTCTCTTTAACCTCTGAATACGACCCTGACCTGCTCCTCCGAGGTGCATCTCTGAGTGCCTCTTTCTTCTCTACAGGAGAAACCTTTGAAGTCTCACTTGCTTCTGGAGAAGCTCCAGGTCTGTTGTGCTTTGCAACGGCTGGAAGTGTGCTGTTCTCTGGTTCTGGAGATGAATCTGACCTGCTGTGTGCTGGCGATGATACAGATTTGCATTTGTTGACTGAAAGTGTTGCAGAGCGACTCAGTCGTGGAGGTGATCGAGATTTATTGTCTTCTGGAGAAGACGTTGATGAAGAGGAGGAGGAAGAGGAGGAGGAGGAAGAGGAGGAAGAAGAGGAGGAGGAAGAAGAGGAAGATCCAGATCTACTTCGCCTTGATGGAATCTCTGACTCTGTGAGTACTGATGACCCAGGCTGGCCCTGACTTGGTGGAGACTTCAATTTCTCTTTCCCAGGGGGAGATGAACCTAATTTACTTTTCCGGAATGGTGATGCAGCTCTCTCCATTACTGCCAATGATTTGTTGTGCCTTGCAGGTGACCCAGATTTTGACTTTATTTCTTGGGATTTATTTTGTTTTGGGGGAGATTTAGATTTGCCATTTAGTTCAGGAGATGATCTGGACCCACTTCTCCTCATAGGTGATCTAGACTTCTCTCTCACTGCTGGAGAGGAGAGCCCAGGCCTGACCTGAATCAACGGTGATGTGACTTTCTTTGTCTCAGGAGAGTACTTGGACTTGCTCCTGGAAGGAGATTTAGATTGCTCCTTGACCAATGGAGAGGAACCAGACCTGCTTCGCCTTGCTGGTGATCTGGCTTTCTTCAACTCCAAAGAGCCGGTTGTACATTTTACCAGTGGTGAAGTGGATTCCTTCTTCAGTTCCAAAGATGATCCAGATGTAGTTCGTCTTGGTGGAGACAGAGATTTATCCCTCAAAGCTGGAGGTGATCCAGACAAGCTCTGCCTTCGGACTGGTGATCTAGGCTTTTCTTTTGCTGCTAGAGACCTTCCAGATCTGCTTCGCTGCAACGGGGGTGTAGACTTTGGTTCTGGAGAGGCTGTTCGTCTTGGAGGGGATAATGAGTTTTCTTTTGTTGATGACTGAGAGGAACCAGACCGGTCTCGTCTTGGAGATGATCTTAATTCCTTCTGCAGCCCTGGAGAGGACCTTGACTTCGTTTTCACTTCTGGAGAAGACTCAGACCTGTTTCGCCTTCTGGAGGATCCAGACCTGCTACGTCTTGCAGGTGAGTTAGATTGGCTTCTTCTGCAAGACATTTTAGATTTCTCTTCAACTGCTGAAGAATCCTCAAACTTCTTTGTATGTCTTGGAGATGAGCCAGATCTGCTCCTTGAGGACATGCTAGATTTATTTTTGACTGCTGGAGGTGTCCTGGATTCACTTCGCCTTGCTGGTGATCTGGATTTCTTTTTCGGTGTTGAAGAACCAGACCTGCTTTGCCGTGGAGATAACCTGGACTTCGTTTTCAGCCTGGGTGAAGAACTAGAGCGACTGCGCCGTGGTGGTGTTCTTGATTTTTTCTTCCTTGACCTTGGAGATGAACCTGAACGACTTCTTCTAGGAGACAACTGTGATTTCTTCTTTGCCTTTGGAAGTGATCCAGATCGACTGCGCCGGGGAGAAACACGTAATCTGCTTCTTGATTCAGGAGATGAGCCAGACTGGCTACGCCGCAAAGGTTTTCTGGACCTCTCTCTCATTTGGGGGGAGGAACCAGATCGGCTTCTTCTTGAAGAAATTCTAGAGGCCTTCCGATCCGGAGATGACACAGACCTACTTCGTCTTGCTGAAATCAACGACTTCTCTCTCCTTGGTGAAGAGCTTGACCTCCCTCTCCTGGGAGGGGTTCTGGTTCTAGATCGCCCTCTTCTGGGTTGAGTTCTGGATCGAGACCTTGCTCGTCTGGGTGGAGTTCTGGATCGAGACCTGCCCCTTCTTGGTGGGGTTCTTGAACGTGACCTCCCTCTTCTTGGTGGGGTTCTTGACCTTCCCCATCTCCCACTATTTCTGCTTCTAGACCAGCCATGCCTTTGGGGAGTTCTAGAACGAGACCAGCCACGCCTCTGAGGTGTCCGTGATCGGCCCCATCTAGGAGGACTTCGTGAGCGTGACCTGCCCCACCGCTGGGGTGTTCTTGACCGGCCCCGCCACTGAGGGCTGCGAGAACGGATCCTTCTTGGAGGAGTACGTGAACGGGATCGAGCACGTCTCTGAGCAGAGCGAGACCTTCCCCTCCTTGGAGGTGTGCGTGATCTGCCTCTCTTAGCTGGGGTGCGTGACCGAGATCTACCTCTTCGAGCAATGGGTGTTTGGGAGAGAGATCTATCCCTCCGACTGGTCCTTGACTTGTTGCCCCTGGCTGGAGGGGTGCCCGATAATTCACGACGAGATGTGACCTTGGCAGCCTGCTTTTGCCCAGAGCGGGAGACTTCGGGGGATGAACTAGACCTCTCTCTGTGTGCGGAGGTCTTCTCTTTGCCTTGCCTTTTAGGAGGCTCCTCTGGAGAAGAGCTACGGGAAACTGGGGCTGGCTTGGTTGCTGGGGAAGGAGAAGAGGAGGAAGAAGAGGAGCAGCTACCACTCTCTGAAGGAGAACAAGAGCGCTGAGGTGGAGAGCCATCAGGTGAGCCCTTCCTCAACTTTGTCTCACTGGCTTTAGAAGTAGGAGATGAGGCAGCTGCCAGCTTCTCCTTCTGGTCAGTTGATGATTTAGCCTTGGATGGTAGAGTCCCATTACGATCCTCTGTCTGCTTCTTAGGGGGTGGGGAGACACTCTCCTTCGAGGAGGAATGCTTGTGCCCCGAGACTCTTTCCCGAGAAGGATCACTTGGCATTGGGGAGTGATGCTTGAACCTTGAATCCCGCTCAAATGATGGAGAGGACTTCCGATCCCCATGCCGAGAAGACTTCCTCTCCTTTTCTCTTTCCTTCTCTCTGGCAGGAGATAAAGGGCTGCCAGAGCGCTGGCGGGTCTCACGTACTGGAGAATGCTTGGACATAGTTTTCTGGACAACAGGAGATTTAAAAAAAACCTGTTAGTATTACAACCCTGACTCCATGATTTTTCTCCTCCAAATATAATCAAGTCCTGCTGAAATCCCTAAGGAACCTCTGTTGCAAGTCACTAAAGTATAATCCCATACCTCCCGTTTTTCTCTGCTTTCTCGAGGGCTTGGGCTCCTGCCCCGCCGGACAGGCTCGGGAGAAGATGAGCGTGTTCTCTCTGGCAGATTCTTGGAAATTGCCTCAGTTTCCGCTTGCTTCCGTGAAGGTGCTGAGGGAGACTTGCTCTGTCGCCTTAAGGGGGCCCGCTTCTGGGCTATGGGGCTACCTGACCTGCAGATGATAAATAACTATCAGAGGCTTGAAATGTGAGTTATTTTCAATAGTCTGCCCAAGTCTGAAATCTGGTTTCAAGAATGTTGGACTGGTGTGAGGAAGGAATAGAGGGAACTTTGGATCTCCATCCCAAAGCCATACCTGCTACGGGAAGCATCTGAAGAGGAAGAATCATCTGGGGAGGAGGAACGATCCCGTCGGCCTTTCTGAGATGCACTCTCGCTAGTAGACCTAAGAGGGTTAGAAATGTGAGCAGAAAGGATGCAAAAAAAAGAGACCACCTTTAGCAAGGAGGGATCTTGGTAGTGGCAAGAAAAACGTGGTTTTTACCTCCTGCGTTTCTTTTCCTTAGATTTGTGTTTGCTCTTGGGACTTGGGGACCTGGAAAAAGACATTTGTTTTGAAACATTCTGGAAACACTGCACAGCCATTATTTCCATCTCAGTTCCTACAGTACCCACTGCAAAACATCCCCATCCCTAGGAATAACCAAGAAGCTATTACTAAACAGATGTCTCTAAAACACTGCCACACAATTCATAAGAAGATCAATGCAACATGTAGCTAGTAACATTGGATGTAGATGTGGGACAATCAGATTCAAGTCACCACTCAACAATGAAAATCACAGGGTATCCTCTGAGAACTCACAATTTCTTAGTTCTGATTGGTTGAGAATACAAGAAAAGTAAAATCAGAATTGCAAAGAACTCTCTATACCCAAACGCATTTTTAAAAAGTTAACTCACCTGTGCTTTCTTTTCTTTGACTCTGACCTACAAACAAACAAAAACAGAGTTTTATATACTTCAGCTTATTGCCAGTCACCTAACAACATAATAGTATGCCCAAAAATCTTGATACTGGATAAAAAGTGATGACTTCCCTCCACCCCAGACCTACACAGGATGCTTTCAGACAAAGAATCTCTGACAAGAGATAGCTACATATAGGATGAGAAAGGCCCCAAACTCTACATCATGTAACCTTTTTTGTAGCGGAAGACAAGACAACAGTACCCCACAGAAAGCGAGGTCTGTTCTCTCATGCACACTTGAAGACAGAACCATAAGCTATTTAGGGAACACTGAAAATAACCATCAGCTGAAGAGATGAAGATCCTAAAGCCCAGTCTATCACACTAAGCCAGCCTGTCTCTCCCAAGACAGCCCCTTACCTGTGTTTCTTTTTCTTTGAACTTTTCTTCCTCTCCCTCCGAGAAGGTGATCTGCTCTCAGATCTGAAGAGACAAACAAAAGGGACATGTTACATGGGGCAAGGGGTAATGGAGACCCACACATCCCAGATTCCTTACTCTCTCCCCTCACCCCACCTAGCCAAACTCTAACTGACACCCTCTTCTCACCACAGCTCACCACTGCCTTTGTTCATGCACCCACCTGCCTCTGTCTTTCTTCTTTTTCTTCTTCTTCTGTTTTGGGGACGGTGAACGGGAGCTGCTAGACTCTTTAACAAGACTGGGAAAAGACAGAGAAATGGTGAAAAACCAACTCCCAAACAGGCTCCAAAATAACGGCTCTCCCTTCCTTCTTTCCTCTCCCCATTCCAATCCCCAAGCAGGCAACTAGGCTGCCAAATAAAAATTCTCAAGTTTAGGGGTATTAGCATGCACACCACAAAAGGTATCCAGTATTGTTAACAACCCTTACAAAAATTATGTCAAAACTACAGCCAGTTAATCAAGCAAAGAGATCAATAACTCATGCCAAAATAAAAATCAGATTTTTAAAATACATATATATTTAATAAAGGCATCATCTGATGTAATCTTACCCCAAGGCAAGGCTTGTATTCTATAGTACAGTGAACGTCAAACAACTTTTATCAAATAATACCTATTTCTTAAACAAAAAAATACAATAAATTGTTTCCCAATCCATGTAAAGCGACAAGAGCTCAACTGAGGTAGGCACAACCATGTCTACCTCCCCAACTTCTACCTTTCCTTTCCTCAGCAAGGATGCCCACATACCTGTACTGCTTTTGCTGTTCCTGCTGCTGCTTAGCCGCCGCTGCTGCAGCAGCTGTTGCTGCCTCCTTAGCCCTGCGGTTGGGGTCAAAAGAGCTGCCATCCACATAGTTGTCACTAATTCCAAAGGCAGCTCTAAGCCTCTCGTTCTTCTTTTCATTGGCCTCAGCCAGCTGATGGGTTTCTGTGACACTGGAGAAGAACAGAAATAGTTACTATAGGGAGAAAACTAGAGGTTATGAGGCAAGCCCAAGGTAAGTATGGGAAGAGCAACAAGCCCCATGAGGAATGGAAAGGAGGTGGGGCGCTAATGAATCAGTCAACTCATCAGAATCAAAATCCACCAAGGTGCCTTACTTACGTCGGCTTCTGCTGCTGTTCCCCCTCCTTGACCACTGCTACATCCTTCTCCAAAAGCATCATCCGAAAAGTGGCTACCTTTTCCTGGATCTCCCCTTCTCCATACCTGGGTTGAGAACACCAGAAAATATTTTACAAGGCTTACCAGATGGGTCCCATAAACATGGTAACCAGTCTCTAATGAGGTAGTAGGCAGTGCTGCTTAGGGACATGAATCGTAACAGATTCAAAACACTGACTACTTCTATCTAACACAGCATAGTACTTATGACTTAAATGTAAACCAAAGACTTAAGCACATCCCCCCCCCCCACACACACACATCATGACCTAGCTAAGTGTCTTTCTACGAACCGCTATTCTCTCAGCCTCAACCTCCCTGATAACTGCAATTTAGAGATAATATTACAACATCTCTGCATAGGAGGATCCTCATTATCAATAAAGCATTTGACTAGAACTTCAAAGTAGTTTATAAAAAGCTAAGCAAAGTTGTTACTCCCCCAAAAGGAATAATTTTCTACTACAAATGAAAATGTCATCTTCACTCCTGGAATCCAGCAAAACAAAATCAACAAATTCAACTCTTCTTGCAATACACATAAAATTGATTGAACACCTGCTAAATGTAAAGTAACTTCACCCTGCTTGTTTTTCCTATAAATAAGTTAACACTACATATATTATATCTGAAGCTTATTGAAAGCACTTCTGAACAAGTCCCACTGAAACCAACAGACAGCAAGCGGCCAGTGCCACAACGCATATGTATACCTAGCACGTATGACATGATTTCACATACTTTCAACTCCTTCAGGCAGCTAAAAATTACTGAGGTCCTCCCATGAAAAAATGGTAATATATATAGGCGGTTTGGTACTATCAGCAGGCAATTACCGACATCTAATCCATATTTAGAAATTACTAAATTCTTTGCCAAAGCATTTTCCTGGTGACAATGAGGTCCATAGTTTAACTTTCCTCAAGCATAGTAGACATTTACTCAGGAGGTACTAAAACCCAGCCCTCCTATTGACTAATCCAGAGAATTGACAGATCCAGCTCGCTTTAAGTAGAGGCTTTTTCCCCACTCCCACTCATCTCTCCTAAGTATATTTTACCCATTTCATGTAAATTCTTCTCCCATTCACCTTTCATGCTCAACTTGTACTTCATTCCCCCACCCTACCCTACCCTCAGGCCTGGTCCTTGAACACGTTCACTTATTCTTTCCATTTCAGTTTTCCTCTTCTCCTAGTTTATTTATACCTGCATTATTAATAATAAATATGTAACTTTCCAATTTCCTTCAATACCTACTCTCACCCTTTGCCCTTAAGAGGAAGGACAGCTTTTCCTTCCTCATCCCTGAATCCTAACTTTGTCAACCTTCCATCATTGCTGTGCTAACAGATCAGAGTATTTGGTCAGTTATCAAGACCAAGGTTGCCAACAAATGAAGGCAGAAATCCCAGGTGCAATGTCCACATACCCCACATTCCCAAATCCCACATACCCCGACCTTCCCATACCGCACCTTCTTCCACAATTGCTATCAGCCTTATTCATTCAATGCCGCTATCTCCATGGTTATTTTTCAGCCCCCATTGTTATATTCCAAATATTTTTGCTTCCCTATTGCCTACTACAACCTACCCCTGCTCTTCCATGAGTTCAGCCAACTCTAAGCATTTCAGCTCAACCTTCCGTTTGCGCTCGTGGTCCAGGATGTCCTGGTTGGGTTTTTTAACCAGGGATGACTCCAGCTTCCTCAACTCCTCTTCTGACTTGTAGTCAGTGCGATCTTTCTTGTGGCGCACGGCCGAGAGGTTGCGCTGCACGTAACCGTTGGTGCCGCTGCCCCGAGGAGTGGGGAGTCCTATCCCATTGTACATGGCGCTCACAGGCTAGCACCAACGGTGCCTCTAATGCCTACAGAAAAAAACAGAGGATGTATGGCTAGAAGCAGAGGCAAAAGAGCAACTGGCAGCTTCTGCCAACATTTTCCAAATACCAGGATGGACCCATGCCTCTTCACAATCAAGACTGAATATATAAATGCACAGAAGAAATCCGTAGAACTCATGCGGTGCAACATGCTTCCCACAAATTCCAACCTGAATCTAGTGCCAAACACCCCCTCACACACACTTTCCTTTCTTCTTACTTTGCCCCATTAATGCTCTCTATGCATCTTCAAATTTACTTCTTATCAAAGTCTCCCTTATTGCATTTCAGGCTTCCCTTCCCATCATCTTCAAATTCTATCTGCTCCCCCAGAGAACTGTCTCACCTACAGCCTCTTACCTACATTTTCCCTGTTCAACACTTTTCCCTTTATGAACCTCCCAGAAACCTGATTTTCCCCCCCACCTGCTCTCAGAATTTGCCTAAATTTACTCATCCCATCCCCTAGAGAGCAGCGATGATCACAAAACCCTGGAGTCTTAACTTCCACTCTACTGAGCCCCTCTTCCTATTTTTACATTTTACACAAATACAACCCTATCCTTTGTCCCCAACCCCACCAGTTTCAAGCCCCCAGCTAAGGCTACAATCCTGTTCGTTATTATTTGGGAGCTCAGTCGGACTTACCTCTGAGCAAAAAAACCAAACAAACCACACACGATTGGCCTGCACACACTCCCCTCCTCCCTCACTATCCCATTTGATCCTCTTTCATAAACGGCTGAAATGCCAGCCCGATATTTCCCCAATCTGGCTCCAACCACCCCATTCACCACCTTCTTTGAAGGACTGAACCAGCCCTCCCAATCTTGTTATAACCTCCCTAGTCCCTATGAGGTTTCTAAACGGCTTAAAGGACTGCCCCCCCACCACATGCACCCACAACCTGGCTACGAGCAATCCATTCCTATATTCCCCACCCCCCAAAAGGCCTGGACAGCCATCTCTGTAGCAGTTTCAAGCCCCACCCCTGCCTCTACCCCTTACTAGGCCTTTCCTCCCTCCCCAGGAATATCCACACACACACACAGCCCTACCTATTAGGCCGATTCACCTCAAGGCCTGATGGAGCCGTTCGAGACCCTCCCTCTGCCCGCACCCCAGCACTCAACCCAACACCCGCCCACGCATGCACCGCGTCCGTGACGCGCGCCCGCGCGCCCCCTACCCAAACCCTCCCCTCCCTCCCCCTGCGCGACTCCCGAGATCGGGCCGCCCCGGAGTAGGCCTCTCACCCGCCTCCCTCGCGCTGCCCAGGGAGGCCGCTCTCTCTGCCTGCGCCACTCGCTCGCTCGCGCTCCCTCACCCGACGCAGCAGCAGCAGCCGCGGCGCAGGCGAAGGGTGAAGGGGAGGAGGGGGAAAGGAGGAGGAGAGGCGGAACCGCCCCCCTTCCCGTCCAATTCGCTCCCGTCTGTCCCTCTCCTCGCCCGCGGGGTTATGGGAAACGTAGTCCTTTCCTTCGCGATCAAGACCCCGACGCCAAGCGCCCGAGGCATGGAAAAGACTACAACTCCCGGCACGTAACGCAAGCAGCGCGAAGGTCGGACGCCATTTTCTAAAGCGCTCTGGGGAGAGGGATAGAGATGGGGGGTGGAGGGTGTTTCAGGAAGACTTTGCCCCGGCGGGTGGTTTTTCCTTTCGCTCTCTCACCCTCACTTTTTTCCCCCTCTCTCTCTCTCGTACAGCAGTCACATCGATGCGCGACGCACTTCGGAAGGCACCGCTAGTGGTGCATGAGGGAGCGGGGACAGGACGAGACAAGACGGAACCGTCCCTCCCGTCAGCCACCGCGCGTTCCCAAATTAGAGAGGAGAGGGGAGGAATCCAGAGTAGAAAGCCAAATCTCGCGAGATTTCATTTGGGAAAACCGCGTTGCGTCTATCGCGACGCAAAATGTTGCGTGTCTTCGAAGCATGCCGGGAACTGTAGTTCAGCTGTTCCCATTGCACCATAGCACTCGCACACATTTCTATAAGCGAGACAACAACTTCCAGAATGAACTGCGAGCTGATGTTGCTGCATTTTCTTTCCCGTTTCCCCTCACAGAGGAAAGAACGGGGAATTTTATTCCTAGAGGGACTTTCCATAAAGCCCAAAGGGAAAGTTTGGCTGGGAGTGGAGTGTATCTTCCGTTGCGCTGCAGACGGTGGATTTTGGGGAAAGTTAAGATAGCAATATCTCATCATCAATGCAGCCTTCTGCCATTTTGTCAGCCCTGATATGTTCTCAGCTTCGCAGCGTGGCGAGCAGGGTTTAATTCTCAAGAGTCGCATTTACATTTTATTTTTATTTTTTAAGAAACTGCATTACCCAGAATGCACTGAATACGGACCCTAAACCTTCTGGGAAATGTAGTTTTTACCAATTAAATCACTGCCAGATTTGCATATAAGCTAAACAAGCTATGGGGGACGCGGGTGGCGCTGTGCCTAGGACTTGCCGATCGTATGGTCGGCGGTTCGAATCTACGCGGCGGGGTGAGCACCCGTCTTTCGGTCCCAGCTCCTGCCCACCTAGCAGTTCGAAAGCACCCTTAAAGTGCAAGTAGATAAATAGGTACCGCTTTATAGCGGGAAGGTAAACGGCGTTCCGTGTGCTGCGCTGGTGCAGGCTCGCCAGAGCAGCGATGTCACACTGGCCATGTGACCCGGAAGTGTCTGCGGACGGCGCCGGCTCCCGGCCTCTAGAGTGAGATGAGCGCACAACCCTAGAGTCTGTCAAGACTGGCCCGTACGGGCAGGGGTACCTTTACCTTTACCTTTAAACAAGCTATAGTTTAGGGCCCCACTCTTTTGGGGGCCCCCAAAAAAATTAAAGGGAGAAAAAAAGGATGTACATTTCCAAAATAGAAGATAAAAAACAAATAAAATAAAACCTACATACCTATTAGGTCCATCAATTACCATATAGTATATATTCAACACAAAAAACAGCAACAATTTGTTGTTGACAAAGGACAGCTGGACATATAAAGGACCCCATTACCTTCAGTAGCTTAGGGCCTCATCAAACCTAAATCCGGCCCTAAACTGAATATTCGTATTGGTTGCCTAGGGGTTAACCACCCAGCCCTCCACCTTTCATAGCTCTCAGAATAGCCCTAAGCCAGTGGTGGCCAAACTTGTTCCTCCAGCTGTTTTGGGACTACAATTCCCATCATCCCTGACCACTGGTCCTGTCAGCTAGGGATGATGGGAGTTGTAGTCCAAAAACAGCTGGAGGGCCAAGTTTGGCCACCACTGCCCTAAGCCAGGCTTCCTCAACCTCGGCCCTCCAGATGTTTTGGGCCTGCAACTCCCATGATCCCTAGCTAGCAGGCCCAGTGGTGAGGGATGATGGGAATTGTAGTCTCAAAACTACAATTTTCAAAACTACAATTTTCAAAACTCAAAACCTTGGAGGGCCAAGGTTGAGGAAGCCTGCCCTAAGCCATACATGGGAACTTCCAGCCCAGGAGCTTGCAAGGGTCACCAGAAACGGCCCAGCCAAAAGAGACCGCAGCTGAGTTACAACCTCCCACCGACCACCCAAACTTTATTAAGTTATTTTTGTTTCTACTGTTCATCTTGACGCAGTTGTTCCTGAGGCGGTTTCCACATGGTTTGACCTAGAAAGCTTTAAACAGCTCAGGACTGCAAGACCTCAAGGACCACCCTTCCCCACATTAACTGACCCGGACCCTGAGATCATCCTCTGAGGTCCTTCTTCACGTGCCTCCTGCATGAGGGTGACAACACAAGAACGAGCCTTTTCTGCCGTGGCTCCTGATGAGTGGAATGCTCTCCTCAGGGAGGTTCACCTGCCGCCTTCATTATACACCTTTAAGCGCTTTAGACGTTCCTCTTTAACTAGGCCTTTGACATCCAACGACCTTTTAAAATATGTTAGGGTGGGAAATATTGGGTTGTTTCTATTTGTATTATGTCTTTTGTGATTTTATATTGTGATTTTATGTATATCTGCCAGTATATTATTCATGTCTATCCTGGACTGCTGATCTTCAAACATTTAAATTTTTTTGAAATTGGCCAGAGCTGGCAGTTGTGGCACTGTTGCCAGGAAACGCAGGGCAAGCAATGCAGAAAGGTGGGCTTCACCAGCCACATCACCAACTGCCCCACAGGCCAGTCCTCCAACAAGTAAGTTGATAGCCGTGTTGCCAATCCCCACATGAATAGGTGACACTGCAGTTGCATTCCAAGTTAGAAGAACCTCCAAGAAAATAAGCCTTGAAAAGACAGAAGGGCAAATGGGAATATTATAATGTAAGAATATTGACGTAACGTTATCTAGAGTCTCTGTAATAACCTAATGAACTCAATTCTGGAGCATAGGGCTACAAATACGAAAGCAAAGACTACACCACACCAGCCTTCCTCATTGCAAAATATCTAGTAAACCTTTCACATCCGTTCTTGCCATATACCTGAGCGGGGAAGCAGATAAAGAGTTTGGAATGCATGATGCATGAGGAAAAGCTGGAGCCACTGGCCATATTTGGCCAAGGAAGAGATGATTAAGATGATGACAGAAGCTTTCAAATATCTAAGAAGCTCAACAAAAGAAGGAATAACGTCAGTTTTCCAAGCCTAGCAACTAATTTTTGTGGGAAATTGTCATAATGGAATCTCAGCTGGTATCACAAGCAAAAGTTTCATTTGCACTGCTATGGAATTTGTTGTTTTTAATATTCATAAAGACTCAGCCTTGTCCATTCATATTTTACTCTGTTAGTCTGATTCTGTGCATGTTCACTCAAACATCAAACATTCTGCTGCTGTTGCAGTTTATAAGAATATTCTTCCTTTTTTCTTTGAAAACTCTGGTCCCAATATCCCCGAGAGGAAGGCTTCTGGTTCTTTTGAAAAAGTTTGTTTGAAGAAAAATTAATTTCTTTGTATATCATATCCCAGAATTTTTTAATTTTATTGCAGCCCCACCACATGTGAATCATTGTCCCTTCAGCCTGTTTACACCTCCAGCATGTATTTGAGCATGTTCTGTACATCTTTGCTAACTTGCTGGGAGTTATATACCACCTGTAAAACATTTTCATATGATTTTCCCTTAGTGTATAACAGGCTGTGAATTTCCAATCTGTATTCCATAGTCTTTCCTATGCTGACATTGGTATATTTTCCCCAAAAAACAATTGCCCACTTAGTCCTGATTTCTTTGACGTCCTCATCTTTAACCTCCCATTCAAGTAGGAGTTTGTACATTTTGGAGATTACTTTTGTCTTACTATATATTAACTCTTTTGCCAATTCTCACACCTGTATTTTCTTTAGCTTGTGCCTAATACTGTGGGGTTTGTTGAGTTTGGAGCAGAGATGCTGTTGCACAGAAAAACTGGAATACCTCAATTGTGCAGCTCTTTTTGTTGTTGTTAAGGTGTTTTCTTGCAAGGAAGTCACACAACTGGTGTCTGTTGGTTTTGCTTTATTGGGAAAGAGCTTGCAAGAGAATCTGGGGAACGGTGGGTAGCCCTGTACCATTTCACTAAACACGCCCTGCCCTACAATGAGGAATGTGGGGAATGTGATGCTTTTCATTAAAATGTGGGTGAAGAGTACAGAAGTGAAGCTCTCAAATCAAGTAGCTCTTGAAGTTTGAACAGCCCTTGTAAAAATGCCTTGCCATTGTTTGTGTGGACACAGCCACCAATCCTACAAAAAAGAAGCCCAAACCTTTGGCATCACCTCTTCAAGGTAAGTATGCCCTATTGATACTGTTGACGTAAATATGTTTTGCGTGGCTTCTCATGCCCTGCTTAACTCTCTCCCGACTCTTTTCCTGTCATGACCACAGGAAGGAGCTATAGCTTCGCAACCCACAATAACACATCCTGCCGCCTGCCTGAACCACTGCTAAGAATCAGAAGGTATTCCTGTTACTCCTGTTTGCACAGAAATGGAATTACGGTTGGAAGACTGTCGCCACTTCACTGTCCACAACATGGAGACTGGGCACTGTTGGTCTTAAACCTCCAGAGGCATAAAATGAAAGACTCGCTATGTTTTCTCAAGCAGAAACCAGCCAGACTTTAAGTATTTATAGTCAAAGGCTATTACACAATGTAATGACAGTAAGCAACAAAAGATGAATTCTTTTTTACTTCACCCTCAGACTCAAAATTATAAAGCAACACAGGCTGCATACACACTATACATTTAAAGCACATCACCTCCCCTCAAAGAATCCTGGGACCTGTAGTTCACTCCCTCAGAACTGCAATTCCCAGCACCTTTAAACTACATTTCCTGGTATTCTGGGGGAAGTCATGTTTGTTAAGTGCGTTGTGCATATGCAGCCACAGAAGGGAATATCAATTCTATCACTACCAATATTACATGGGCCTGAAATCCTTTAAACTGTGTGGCCATCTCAGATTAAAAGCACACACGTTAATAGCACACAATAGGGTAGAAACCTGTGGCACTTGCTGAACTATAACTCTCATAATCCCTGGCCATTGGGATTGGAACGATTGGTGGGATTTGGAGTCCAGAAATATCTCACATGACAGACATATTGTTTATATTCGTCACTAAGCATTAGGTTGCTCCAGGGCAAGATCGTGTAGCTATACAACTATGCTACAAGTTCAGAAGTGATGCCACAGTGGGTTTGCCAGCCTTCATGTCACGTTTGCAGACATCTTTGGAACTCAGAGTTGGTCTGCCAACAGACCAGGTGCCAGAAGCCAGCTCCCCATAGAGCACGTCCTTGGGGATCCTCCCACCTTCCAGTTGTGAACGACTCTGGGGTTGCGGCGCTCATCTCGCTTTACAGGCT